AAATACTTTAGTTAACTTTTGAAACATCCTTCTGTAAAGAATACCTTTTGTCTAAAGTAATAAACTTATTTTAATAATAAAAATAATAATAGCTTTTGTTCAAAAAAATAGTATTTTACAAGTGCTGGATAATAAATTATCCAAACTTCTAATAGGGTTATAAAATGTAAGCTAAATCTTACATAGTTGGATCTTAGATACCTGGTAATATAAAATAATACAGAAAATATTACCAGTAAAGTAATTTGTTTTCTATAAGTTACACCACTACATATTTTACCCAACTCTTTCATAGTGCTCTTCTTTAAGGCTTTGTGTTTAATGGTATTTTATAATATATGTGCTCCATATTCTCAGTACAGATGTGTAAGAAGTTGATTCAGTCGTATTTGGGTACAGTTTGATCCTCCACTGTGCACATTTACAAACCACCTAGATAACTTACCTTATCTTTTCTTTGCTTTTCATCCTGATATACAGTCCAGTGTTCTCCATCATTGCTGTAAGCTAGTTTGTAGGACCCTACAAACTGAACATGGCCAAAATCTTTAGCTCCTTGTGTGATGATGCCAGTCACTTTGGTAGGAACAAGAAGATCCACCTAAAAGAAGAAAAAGACATAATTTAAATGTAACAATAGAGTTTATCATAGTTTAACAAGTCCTTTGAACTCAAGCGATTAAAAAACACGCATGCTAAAATAAAAAATCTGCCTAATTATTAGTATTTTGAAAACTATCACTGAGTCTATCTATCATTGGCTGATAATTTAATTTTTGTCACCAAGTAAACTTAGTCTAAGGATCCTTGAACACCCATGTGACCATTTAAAAATAAGATGCTGGCAACTTCAGTCTACAATCATTTTTATATTAAACTGATTCATCTTGTTGTGTAGGTTTTGTGTCACTGAAATATTATGTAACTGCCAAGGCTGACCTTCTTGAAATTGGTCATTAACTCCAACAGCTTGTGCTTATAATTCAGTTTACTGGTCAATTAAATAATGATAATAATATTACAGCTGTGTACATACCAGGATCAAAAATGATATTGGATGTTTCACAATTAAACATCATATAAAGTTAACTTTTTAATTTTAATCAATTCAGTAATATATAATTGAGCAATAGTAGTCATTGTTCAATGAAAATTCTCTTTCAGAAATGCAATTCTAAAATGTTGAAGTAGAAGTCAATATCCTTCAAAAATGAAAGAGAATTAAAAGTATGCACTTCTGATTTGTGGGATCTCTGTTCATGATTTGCTCTTTCCTGTGAAATATGTACTAAGAGGACACATGATTTATGGTGATTTATTAAGCATTGTTGTTGTTTGCCGTCGAGTCAGCCCCGACTCATAGCGACCCCTCCTTGGGTTTCCGAGGCAGTATCACTAC